AGGCAAAACAACATGCCTCTCAGGTCCTTCAGGCAAAACAAGAAGCCATTCGGGCAACACAAGAGGCCCTTCAGGCGAAACAAGATTCTCTTCGGGCAACACAAGAGGCCCTTCAGGCGAAACAAGATTCTCTTCGGGCAACACAAGATGCCCTTCAGGCGAAACAAGATTCTCTTCAGGCAACACAAGATGCCCTTCAGGCGAAACAAGATTCTCTTCGGGCAACACAAGAGGCCCTTCAGGCGAAACAAGATTCTCTTCAGGCAACACAAGATGCCCTTCAGGCGAAACAAGATTCTCTTCGGGCAACACAACATGCCCTTCAGGCAGCGCAAGATGCCCTTCGGGCAACAGAACATGCCCTTCAGGCGACACAAGATGCCCTTGGGTCAAGACCAGATATCCGTCAGCCTCTTCAGGCAACACGAGATGGTCTTAATGACACTTGTTCACCTTTTGTTGACGAATCAGCAGCAGGTAGCAGTTCTGACTATGAAGAAGTCATGAAACGCATTAATATGGAGTCGGAAACTGTGTTGGATGATGATTAAATAAACTTTAATGAAAATCTGCTCCACTCTCAGCTTATCCTCTCTTTCACTTCTCCAGTAATTTCAGTGGGCCCTGGAGGACATCCTGCCTCTTGCCTTGTTCTCACAGCATGGTCTCACTGAGCAAAATACCCTGTGCAAACAACGTCGCACAAGTAAACAGCTCACCTGATATGCTGTTAAAGGTCTTCACACCTGTTATTAATGATGAAACCTGCCTGTACCAGTGCAGTGTGACCGGCCTGGTCTTTTTAATGAAGGCAGAAGGAGACGTGGTTTACAGGACTGTCCCTTGGAACAGGAGGCTGCTGGCCCAACACCACAGGAAGCCTGCAGGACCCCTGTTTGACATCAAATGTCAGCAGCAGTCTGTGTGTCAGCTTTGTCTCCCACACTGTGAGCTCATCTCCACAGGTGGAGGTCAGTTCTTGCAGGTCGCTCATGTGAATGA